GCTTCTATGGAAAGTGATGATGGAGTGACCATTACGAACTGGAAAGACAAAAGAAATATTTACATGCTTTCTACTAAACATGGCAATGAAATGGTTGAAGTATCTTGTAATTGACAAACTAAACTGAAACCCAAGGTGGTAATAGATTACAATAAAGGCAAAGCGGCAGTAGACTTATCTGACCAAATGGGAGCGTATTCCAACCCCCTAAGGAAAAGCATAAAATGGTTTAAAAAAGTGGGGTTTGAATTATTATTAACTACATCAGTTATAAATTCTTTTTTAATATATAAGCTTGTAACAAATAACAACATGTCGGTGACAGATTTTAAAAACAAATAGTGAAACATCTAGTTACTTATAAAGAAACCACTACTGTACCACGAAGTGTGTCAAATAATCACCATCAGCTTGAACAGAAGGCAGATGGAAGTAAACATCAACGAAGGAAGATTTGCAAGAACTGCTACAAAAAAAATAGTGAGCAACACGGCCGTCAGTATGCTATGAACAAAACTAAAAATGTAGACACCTTTTGCAAAAGCTGTGACAAGGAACCTTTTCTGTGTATAGGTTGTTTTAATGAATTACATAGAATTTAAATAACTTTTTTTATTGGTTGTTTTACATTATTTGATTTTTCTGTTGTTGAAAAACATGTTTGTATCAATAAATATTATCCCAAAGTTGTAAATAACGTTTTTGACGTATATGTGACCACATTTGTCATACTCCATAAATCGCACAAATTCTCTCTACAGCACATAGCTTGTAGGCCTCGTTGGTCCATTCCCATGGTGATTTAATACTAAATAAACACCAATGGCTCGGTACATGTCGGAATAAATGTTGGTCCCATAGGGCCAACATGGCCTGTTAATGCAATACTTGCGTTGGTCCCATTGGACCAATGTGGCCTATTGAAGCAACATCAGTGATGGTCCCATCGGACCAACATGGCAGCGAACGTGTTAATTATGGAACTTTACATCCTATAGATACATCAAGTACTCAGTCATGACCCTTAATTGTTGTAAAATAATGGTAAATTAAAAGTTTTAAATTTTGAATTAAACATTATCATTGTCTTCATATCCCTCAGGTTCTGAAAGACAATCTCTGGCAGTACTAGATGTTAATAAAGATTGGTAATATTGGTGGTATGACCTAAGAGAGAATCTATTTCAAAAGATAAAAAGTTTGAGTCAATGCTAGTCTTCATGAGAAAATTGTTATTTTCATTTCTCTGATACTGGTACCATATACCATCACTAGGTATATTTAAAATTAGTATTTTCATTACTTGCTCTTCATCTTTTACTTTATTTTGTTTTTCATATTGTTTTTGCTTGTTCTATGGTTTTATTTTATTTTTTAGTGCAAATGTCACTCTTCTTTGGTTAAAATCTAAGAAGTCATCATGAAGTAGGTATGTCACTTCAAACGGGCATGGCTTAGTGTGTGTAAGTCTTATGATTTGTGCCCATACTTCAAGGGTGTATACAGGAGAATTTTTTGAGTTGAATTCAATTTTTGAATGGACAGAATTGAATTCCATTTCTGAGTGACCCGGTACAAAAAAACACAAGGTCAATTGTTTCTAAATTTGGGTGACAATTAACAACATATTGACTCATCGCAGAAAAAGCAAAGCAAAGTTTTTCTGTTGTCAATATCAGGGTAAGAAATGATAAATGTAGCAATTCCAGTACTACCGTGTTTTCCCGCAGTTTCATCCCATATGAAACATTGGACGCTCCCGTCTCCTAAATTATAAATGGCAAATTTTCTCACATAAACAAGGTCCTGCAGCTAATTTACGCGTTGACAAAACAGATTGCAGATCGAAATTAAATGCTAATATTTTCCTATTCTCCAAAGCCGACTGTTTACCTTCATCTCGTTTTTTCTCACTTTCTTCTTCATCTTTTCTTTCGAAGTGTTTGTGATGGGCTTGGCCGTTTAAAACCTTTTCGTCATCTGAACTACCATCATAAGTGACACAAACTTTGCAAAGGTCTTTATTCGGTTTGTGAAATTTAATAAATTTGACACATTCGTCATTTAGCATTGTACAAATATGCCTTTAGGTATATTTACACAAAACAAAAGTAATGAATATTCCATTTTTGTCAGTTTGCAGTATATTCGATATTTTTATTGTTCTGAAGCTATTTTCTTGTGGCATTGTAAATTAATTACTATTTAACTGGGAATAAGCCACAATTAAAGATAAAAATACGTTTATTGACGTTTCAAATTCCACTTAGGAAATCGTTCTCAAAATACAAACAGTAAATTAAACAAATTTTGTTTTTTGTTACATAGTGAAAAATTCTTCTAATAATTTAATTTTATCTGACTCATTTATATTGACAGAATTTATATTTATTCTGAATATTTATATTCAGAAATACATTATGCATTTTAAAGTAGACGACTTTAAAATGATATTGCCAATATTGTTGAGTTGCGCTCCTGGGACGACTTTACTTATAAGATAGTTCATTCGATTACATGAAATCAACTTTAACTTGAGAATATCCGTCAGAAAAAAATCATAGCATGTAATTCGTCTTTAAAAAGACAAACACATGACATGATGACAGTAAAATTCTCCTGTTAGTGATTCCATAGTAAATTATGAGAATATTATGAGTATTATTTTATAAATGCAATTCTTTGTCCTTTCTTGTTCATTGTTAGGTTTGGTTTTGGACAAAATAGATCTCAACGTGTTTGTTGTTGAAATGTTGAATTTATTTCCTATCCTTTTAAGTTTTTCTGATAATCCTTTTATGTACGGTATTGTTATTTTCCTCATATTATTCCTTGTGTATGCTGTAGGATCTCGTTCTAAGTTGTTCTGTTCTATTCGATCGATTGTTGAAAATTCCTTATTTATAAACGATAAAGGATAATCATTTTTTAATAAAACAGATGTTAACAAATGTTTCTCCTCCAAGAACGAATTTTCGTTAGAACAAGTAATTTTGGCTCTATCGTATAAGGATTTAATTACTCCCTTTTTTACATTAATATTGTGATTTGATTTGAAATTTATAAAATACTTTGTGAATGCGATCAGTTTTATTTAGGTGAATTATCAAGGCCATTAAATGTTAGAATAAGTGAACATCAATTTTATATTAAAAATAGAGAATTTGATAGATCTCAAATATGTAAACACGCATGGGATAATGAACATAGGGTTCAATGGAATAATTCTAATGTAGTCCTAAAAGAAACGGATGGTAAAAAAAGAAAAAAACAAAGAAGCGGCTCTAATTATGCTAAATGAGGCCAATTGTGTCGCAAATTCCTCGGCAGAATGTAATAGTAACTCGGTTACCAATATTGAAAGAGGAAGTTATTAATAAGAAAATACTAGTATTAGTAAGTCAGTAACATATAGAGGATACATCATTTATGTTTTTTAAATAACGTAACATATAAAATCAGAATTTTGATGTTTGTTGAAGGTAAACTAAATTCACAAACAAATACTTACAATGTCGGGATAGTATTATGAGGTTTTTCCCTCATAATTTACTATGGAATCACTAACAGGAGAATTTTACTGTCATCATATCATGTGTTTGTCTTTTTAAAGACAAATTACATGCTATGATTTTTTTCTGACGGATATTCTTAAGTTAAAGTTGATTTCATGTAATCGAATGAACTATCTTATAAGTAAAGTCGTCCCACTAGCGCAACTCAACAATATTGGCAATATCATTTTAAAGTAGTCTACTTTAAAATGCATAATGTATGTCTGAATTGTCAATATAAATGAGTCAGATAAAATTAAATTATTAGAAGAATTTTTCACTATGTAACAAAAAAACAAAATTTGTTTAATTTACTGTTTGTATTTTGAGAACGATTTCCGAAGTGGAAATTGAAACGTCAAGAAACATATTTCTATCTTTAATTGTGGCTTATTCCCAGTTAAATAGTAATTAATTCGATATTTTGACCAAAACAAAATGTTCATATTCGATAGTTTAATCAAGATATTTGCCACTTTCCTTATCAAGCTAGAATTTCGATATTTTGCTATAAGCTGTATCACATCTAATGCAAGGACAAGGTATCAAATCTGAAAAACCTGATTTTTCACATTCGATAGTTGGAAATGGTAAGGATGATATATTAAATGTAGAGGCATATCTCCTTTGAATTTCCCTTTATCTAATCTAACAATAATGGGAGTAGATAACGACTTATCACTGTGACTTGATGCAATTATAATTCCAATTGTTACCCCACAATGTTTTTACTTAAACTCTGTTTTATCTCTTCGAATTTTGTAAGCTGGACTATCTACTAGAGGCTAAAATATGATAATAATGGTAGAATAAAACTAAATAAATATATCAATTTATTTACAAAATTAAAAATATACATTTAAAACAAACTAAATTATATAGAAATTCGTTCAAAAATATTACAACTGTATGTACAAACCAGAACTTAAATGCCATTAATATCAACTTAATCTTTTTATGGGGTTTTGTATTGTAGAAACTAGCAATGAATGAATACAAAAATTAGCATATTTTTGTATATTTGCACTTGCATTTGCAAAATTTGTGCAAATGTTTTGCAAATATGAATATCAGAAAAAAAAGCAATTTGAAGATAATATGAGGTTAATAAAATAAAAATCCATTCACTTCTTATTTTTTATTAAGAAGAAAAGGTAACTAAGCCCTGTAATCACATTATAAGCCTTCACTTTATCATTTGTTAATATACAGTGAAGCTTAAGATTCAGATTTATTTACTAAATATCAATTAGTTTTCCATTAGAACTTAGAACACAAAAAAATATTCTCTGAACCTTTTATCAGTCTGTAAGTTTTTAATATTAGATAGTCATCTTGAATGACACTGAAAACTACAATCAAACAAAAATTATATTCTTCAACTAAAAATAAACAGCCCATGTTCTGCTTAGACTGGTATCAATTAGTAAACTCAAGGTTTCTTTCAAAGATATACTTTTGTGTATTTTTGAAAGATATACTTTTGTGTATCTTTGGAAGCTTTAATATTTTTAGCAGATATTGGCATTTGCAAATGTTTAAGAAATGACATTTGTTACATCACTAGTAGAAACTACTTGCATTAATTTCTTATTAATTTCAAATTTAATATATCCAATGGGTGATCACTTGAACATTTTGTTTAACTTTTTGTCCTCATAATATGGTTTGATTTGTTTTAAGTGTTAATAACATCTGATACTATATGTTTTATATTAATTACATTGAAATAAAAACTTTATTATCACAGAAAAATGCAAATAATCTCATCAATAAGCAAAAATAGCAGAAGAAACAGAAATCACTCTAATAATCAAATAGCATGATCAAACAGAAAAAAACACCATAGGAAAAAAAAAATTATTTGCGAAAACAAAAACCAGCCCTATATGATTCTGGCAAAAATAATGTTTGTTGTGAATATTTGAAAATAAACTACTAAATAATTTGGGATTTTTAATGTATTTCCCTTAAAAAATCGTTTGCTTAATGAGCTGCGAAGAAAATGACTACTACAGTAAAAGTATCATAAAGAGTAGACAATTGATCATAGTATTAATAGAAGTGAAATAATTAGAGAATGTCAGAAAGGGTAACAGTAACACATATTCAGCATAAGATATTAGTGTAGATGTTTTCATGTGAAGACCAAATTCTTTTTGATTATGTGAACTTTTTGCCACTTACTTAATTTGGTCACCTGATTACCCATTATACATTGAAAATTTCATGTTAATTATGCTCCAAAAGTTTGGAGCATTATCTATAGTCTGCTAGAATATTAACACAAAAATTATTGATCATTAAGCTTGCATATATCTTCATATTGAACCCCACTAACTTTCCTTCCTTTTAATACCCCATTATATATTTCAATGTCTACACAAAAGTTTTTCTCATCTACATTTAACAAAACTGCGGTTTCACCCCTATAAGCACCATTAACAACTTTTACAAGTTTTCCTAAAGCTGGTATTACAGTTTCCAAATGTTCCTGGTCTATTTTAATCTTTTTTCCACTATCAATAAGTTTCACTATAGCTACATACTTGTCTATCACTTGTCTTACTACACCCTTTTCCTTGTAATATTCATCACCCAGATTTCTAGTTACTATTTTCACTATAATATCTTCTGTTATCCAGTAGTCTTTTCTGTTTCTCTTTTCCTTCTTATTTTCTTCTGATTCCCTGAGTTCATCTAAGGCTGACTTCTTTTTTTCTTCAAGTTTCCTCTTTTTTGTGTCTGAAGGAATGGAACTTGGAGCTTTAAACACATTTTGTACAACAGGTGTTACTAATTTGTCATTTTTTAATTTAATATCTAATTTAAGAACCTCTTCTTCATTTTCCCTTATTAATTCTGTATAGATTGGTTCCACTGAAGGCCCTGCCTTCTCTTGTGCTAATCTAGCTTGTTTCTCTACAAACTCTATTTGCTTCTCTTCATCATTTTTATCCATTTTCTCTTTTTTCTTTTTAGATTCAGCTTTTTCTACTGTCTCAGGACTTCTATCTATGTATGTGATGTACCAACCTTTCTCTGTTTCATCAACCACAGCTTGTCCAGTTTTACCTAACCATTTAACAAATCCAGTAAGTGTTACCCATCTAGTACCATTCATGTGAACATGATCCCTATCATGTATGTATTCTTGGTAGACTCTGTTAGCATTAACTCTTTTTGTACCAAATTGTCTTCGAAGGATCTCCATATATCCCTTTGCGAAATCGAATGAAAAGTCATCTATATACTTTTTGGAGTTATCTGCAAACAACAATAATTGCCTTTGGTGAGATTCAGACATTGTATGGCACTTAAAACCATTTTCATCTCTGCATTGTTTCTGACACATTTGACAATACCATCGAAGTTTCTGCAGACCTTTGGCTTTCATTTTATTTGCCAGGTACTTAGGAGTACCTACTTCTGCTTTCTTGCCCATTTTATCTAATTATCTTCCAATTATTATTTAAGAACACAAAATAGTACAACCTATTTGTTGACAAAGCCACACCACTCTGAAGTTTGTTGCACTTTATGACAGTGACATATTTTAATAATACAACATTAAATTCCCTAGATTTTGGTGGATGATTCAAATGCGGTTAATTATTGATTAGTGGCATAAATAATATAAAAATCATATTTGCAATAGAATAACTTACCAAAACTCTATTTTCAGTCTTGTCGCCTTTGGTTTCCAGTCGAACCACATTTTTAAATAAAATTTTTACTTTATTTCCAACTGAAGACTTAATACTTTCTAAAAGTAAAAAAGAATCTAAATAAAATACATTTAAAATTATTAGTACAATATCACTGGATATATATTTTTCGTTTCAAAATTTTAAAAGCCTATATTTATATTGTTTAATATAGGTGAATTCATACACTTTATATTTATGAACAGACAATCCCATAATTGTCTTTTACTTCATAATTTACGATAGTAATACATTGAAAAGTGTATCATATTAAAATATTAGATACTATTGCTTACATATACAATATAATTTTGTTTTAAATACATCTTATTAATTTGTTTAAATTCAATAATAAATTAACTGTTTTAATGAGCATTTTAGAGTCCTTATGCGGTGACAAGATGTTAAATAAGAGGTCAATGGGTCATTGTATCAGAGATCATAAAAATTTATTTACTAATTAATTCTAAGAATAATCTATTTGCCATAAATCATGGTAGGTTTCAAGAATTAATTACGAGAATGACTCATAGAATACATAAGTAATTGAATAAGTATAATCCTTGACATATAGGGAATGAGATTTATTCAATATTCTAATATAGTGTAAACAATAGTAAACAATTCGCAAAATTATTTGTCAGTGTGACACTCCCCTTTGAACACCAAACTACAAAAAAATTGTTAAAAATTTTAGAGAAAATCTTAACTCACCATTTAGATCTTTAGTGAGCTGTGATCTGGTAGACATACTTTATATAAACACAAGACAAACACATGAAAAATTTTATATTATCATTTTAATTGAAAACAATTCTGATTTTTGCACTAATGTTGCTGTCACTGTCATTATTTCCAAACTTCAGGATGTTAGTAGGTTTTTGTGTTTTGATATGCCCTATGTCACAAGCTATAACGTCTGGTTGGTGGAAATTGTTTACGTTTTTTGGTGTGATAACTGTTGGCTGCCATTAATCGCTAGCAGTGTATACTCAACCCATGATCCGATTAATTTTCGAATTTGGTTTGTGATCTGATTTTTAATAGGAAATAATAACAATTTTATTTTGTTTTGTTTCACTTTGATTGTCAAAAGAAGCAATACAAATTATATTTTACCATATAATGAATCGCATAAAAGGATCCTCAAGATAATTTTAAATGTGAAGATTCCAGACTATTTATTTCAAATTAGATTATATATTGATTATACATTTTTTCCGATCTCTGCATATGGCTATCCAACCTCTGAGAACAAGATTCCTAATGTTCTAAATTAACTGGTTCTAATAGATTTTTTCATTATTATTATTTTATAGTTAGTGTGACCAACTAGCCCGAAAAATCCGGGACATGGCCCGAATTACGAAATTGTGTCCCGGCGTCCCGGACAATGCTTCCGGGCCATCCGAATTTTTAACTTTTTGGTAAAATTTTATTTTGAAATTTTAAATACGTTATTCTTCTAAGAATTCACATCAAATTCAATTGTTGGGACAAATAAACGTCGAAAATTTCTGGAGTGTAATACTCCAAAACGCATGCATTTTATCGTGGTATTGTGTTATAGGAAAACTCAAATGTGCATTTTTTTTTCACTCAAACAACGCAATATACGTCAGTATAACTACCAATGTCTCTATCCCTGAAAACGTAAATATGTTCCCGGAAGGAATGAAGACGAAAATATTGAATTTTACGGTTCAAGATGGGGAAACATCTGATATTATTGTGCAGCTCTTGAGGAACACTCTTTTATTTTCATTCTGCTGCGATAATACCAATACTAATTTTGGTGATAAAAACCGAGGTGGCCAAAACAATGTTTACTACAAACTAGAATCACAGGTGAATCCAAATTTGATGGGAATCGGTTGTGCGGCTCACATTATTCACAACACTTTGCAATGTGGCTGCAATATGTTACCATTTGACGTGGAATTAATTATGATGAAAATTTATTCACATTTTTATTGTTTCACTGTTCGTGTCACACATTTAAAAGAGTTTTGTGAAACCGCAAACGTTGAGTAGGTATCAGAAAATTCTTGGTTATGGGAAAACTCTCTTTTTGGAAATGTTTACATGCATGTAATCAATCTTACGAGTTTATGATGGATTAAAGGCGCATTTTTGTAAACTTCAAACAGCCCAAAATTACTGAAGGATTTTTTCAAGGACCCATTCGAAAGTTTGATTGTTGTTCATTCTTGATCAGGTAAAAGCAGCTTTACATCTAGGCAATGCAAGTTCCATGCTATGCAAGTCTGTCTTGCATGACATATCGCTTGCCTAGCCTGTTTACATCCTATCTATTTCTGTGCTATTTTTAATACCACTTTCATTGTTTTCAATAAAAGAAATATACCAAAACATTAACTTTATACATTCCACCTGGAAATTTCAGTCCAGCATTAAATATAATAAAACAAAAATCACAAATTATTACATCCAATAAATAATATTACAAACTTACACAAGAATATGTGATAATGTTCAGTTTTATTTTGAACTATAAATTTTATTATACTGGCAACATAAATTTTGACAGCAACTTGCAGTAAAATAGTATGAAAAATTAAACACGTTTTAATTTTTCCTATAGGAAAAGGAATTTTTCACAGGAATTGCATAAAAAGAGCGCGTGAGCATGCGCTGTTGCATATTCTGTCTTGCTTGGCTCTATGAAAATTGCCTAATGTAAAACCATCTCAAGAAACGTGTTCAAAAATTACTTTTAATCACTTCATGACTTGAATATTTGAACCTGAATATTCATAACTTGAATTGCAATTGTTTTTTTTTTTTCTATAGGCTGATTTTCAATCGACGACAGTTTTAAGAATTGAAGGTGAAGAAGTAGCTGCGATTAAAATGACACAGGCTTTGGACGATTTCCTTCAGTCGTTGAAAACAAGAGTGGATTGACAGTTCCTGTTATCAGCTGTTTTGAACTAAGTAAATAAAGCAGACGTGGACCTCGATATTGATAAACAAACAGTGTTGCAAACAGCTCTTCCATTTTATCAAATTTGCATCGGTTATCTCGAGCAGTGGAAATAACAGTTTGAAGAAGTACTCATATTTGGATGGGCTACACTTGCTACCGAGCCGAATTGGAATGAAGTCGAGGCAACGAATAAATTCAGGCAGAGAATAATTGGATTAGCGTAGAAGAAAACAATGTTGAATTTGTGACCAGTGATAAAATTACAGCTGGGAACGAAAATCACACAAAACCACATCAACTCTGGGTTGATGCTTTCAACACTTCAAAAAGAATCACATTCCGTACAAACGCTTTGCACGAGTTATTGAATTCATCTTTTGTTTACCAGCTCCTTCTGCGAACGTCGAGCGCGTTTTTCATTGATTACAAAAATATGTTTAGCCGAAAAATCACAACTTGGCATTGAAACATTGAAAAATATTTTGTTCGTAAAATTTAATTTGAAATATAAACGTGTTGATTTTTTAAAGTTTTTAAAAGAGTCGCCGTCATTGTTAAAACAAATTTCATCACAAGAAAAATATGATTTTAAAAAATAAGCAGTGCAAAGAATTAATATATTTTGTTGGTTAAGGCCAATTTAAAATATGAATGGATTGAAATGTTTTGAAGCTGTTTTCTTGTGGCCTGTTTAACAATTATATTTTTTATGGAATTATGCTACAATTGGTTGTAATGATAATTACATTATTATGTTAACCTAAGGTTACATTACATGAAAATCCAACATTAATTGATTTTCTAATTTTTCCTTTTTTGAGAATGATTTTCGGATTGCAAGTTGAAACGTCAAAAACTAACAAAAATGTAATTATTATAACCAATTATGGCTTACATGGCAATTGCCATCCAAAATATTATTGTCAACATAAAAATGATAAATAATTAATAAAATGATGGTATTACAGTCCCTGTTTAAAAAATAAAAAATGGCCCGATTTCCATTGAACAGTCCCGGATTTCAGGTATTTTTAGCCTTGTCCCGAATTCGATTGAATTGGACTTGGTAACACTATTCATAATTTATCAATTTTCTTATTCTTCGAATTGTTTTCTAGGAACTTTAACATTATTTGTTTTTTTGAGATAAGCACAATGTTCCAGCACCTTATGTAATTACTAGTCTTTTTGCTTGCTGTAAATTTTTTGTTTTGTGTTTCTTAGTGAGTCGCTCATCTTTGAAAACGTTTTACTTTAAAATAAATTTGTTTTGATGTTTTGATTTTCACTTCGGAAATTGTTCTCAAAATACAAAATATTTTTTATATATTCATTTTGCAGATGGCAGCACATTATTATATCTTACAGTAAGTTAGGTGTAGTAGACACTTTCTTATAGTATAAAGCTAATAATACATGCTAAACCTTTGCTAAACAATGTATTGTGTAAACCAATGACAAGATATTGTAGTAATTTTAGTTTCTATGTATTGTCACATGATTGGTGCAACCAAATGACATAGTTGTCTTTTCAAATGTCAGCTAATGTCAAATTTCATACACACAACCATCGAGTTAGCACACATGACATAAATATAGAAAAAAAATCTATTTTTTTAATTTGCGAACTGCTGCGTGCTGTAAAAATAAAAATCGAATCAGTTGATAGTTAGGTAATTGCGTTGTACGAGTGTTACCATAGTACATAAAAAAGTATTACTAGTTATTTAGATATACAAAAAAGTTCTAGTCAGATGAAAAAAATTCTTCCTAAAATATTAATAACCTGTGAAATATGTCCTTTATAATTATTCCTATCAATAGGAGGATAGCAGTTAGAAGTAAGTATATTTTTTAATGAAACATTGGGAAATATTGTTCAATGTATTATTTAATATTATCGTTATCGTCTCCAACACAAAAATCTCTTTACAGACTCTGAAGCTCGCTCGTGTTGAAAGTTAAAGAATTTTGCCTATCAAGATGTCCGATCAAAGTGTAAGTGATGATTTTGTGAGAACCGTTGAAAATTTGTTAGTTAAAGGAAAAGTATCGGAAGTTAAATTACTTTTTTCTGCCTCAGAAAATACTGCTAAAATCAGTAGATGTTCCTGTGAACTAATTTCAATTCTTATCAAATATCTAAAAGATGTAGATACAAATTCGGAACTGTTTTTGAATACTAAAATACTTTTAAATGCTGTTATATTGATGTCAAGTGCTGAAGAAACAGTGTTACAAATACTGGAAGAAATAGAAGAGACAGACAGTAATATTAAGTTTGAAGTTTTATTAGAGCCTTTATTGCTAGTTCTTGCAAAGATACGAAAGAAAAAGTCATTATTTCTCGCTTGGGCGTTAAATGCTATACATAAATATTTGTTGAAGTGCTCAATCCCAGCAACTGCAAATTTACAAGGGAAAGAGAAGATGCTGCTGGATGATAATGATGAAACTAAGACTATTAGTGAAATTTATAAGACTGTATTACATTTTTATGAACAGTTGAATCTTGATTTTTTTGATGACTTTGAATTTTTAGAGGAAACATCCTTTATGCAACTAAAATTCTTAATTCAATTGTTGGGCAGTCCACTAGTGTACTTGGATGTTGAAATATTTGATGATTTTAAGAGTAAAGCTAGATTATTATCAGAAAGCATCATTTTTGTGATATTTCAGTTAACTACAGATCCAGTACCTTTGATAGATCACTGTTTCAATGATTCTGATGATGATTTAAGAATTAGTAAAGTAGATTTAGCTTCTTTGTATTATTTGGTATATACTGAAGGAATAAG